CCCCAAAACCCCAAAACCCCAAAACCCCACTAGCCATAATCTCAGTAAGTTAATCTCTAATGTTTATCCTTTAAAACCAAGATTAAATTAATATCTATAAGCATTTACATTAATGCTAGGTTGTTCATTTGTTATAGTATGGAGAATTCTTCTTAAAACATTTCTCAAGCTCACATGTTATTTGCAGCATTAATTGAAATGTTATGATTTGACTTGTTAATCTAATTGTTGATAAAATTAGTACCACTGTTATTTGGCAATATAAAAGATCTAACCATCAATGTCCTTTTATAGTCTTACAATCCCTGATATCTTCTTTCTTTATCCATTAGGCTTTGAACTAATTGGTCTTTATACATTTTCTAAGTAATTAGAATTCTCTTCATATTGTCTTGCTAGTCTTGATCTTTCAACTACTTCTTTACCTTTCTCTCAACTTCATTCTCATTTGTCGACCTATCTTATGAAATAATCTACCTTCTATGCTAGTATGTTGCATATGCCTCGCTAACCTTAGACATATATTAGGCTTTTTGTTCATCTAAGCGCATCCTCATCTAATTACTCTTCTCTTGCTCTTTCTACTTCTTATACTCTATAAACTCACTCTTCTCATCATATTTCTTCTTCAATAATCTCTTAGATCTGGATTGCCTATCGCAATATCTTTATAATGTACCATATTCCTTCTGGGAATACTCAGTTATCATATTATTCCTTCTTTGCCTTAGTAGTTAGTGCTAACTATTAATACGATCGCGTTCTCTCTCTAATGCTTCTTGTTTCCTCAAAGCAGCTCTAAGCATCTTTTCCTCAAAATTCATAATCTTTTACTGTATCTCTCTTTCTGTAGATGACTCTCTTTGACTAAATAGATCATCATGTAGTCCTCCACTTTCCCTTGAGCTCATTACTGCAAGAAGTCTTTACTGCTATATTTTGTCGGTCTTCTCAAAGTACATATCAAGTTTTTACTATTTCTTTGCCTCTTCTTCCATTTCTAATATTTTTTTCTTCTGCAGCACTTCTTCAATTTTCTTATTTCTTTTCTAGGTTCGCCATTCCCATTCCTCTTTTCTTTGCTTCATATCTTTTTCCATCTTCTTTTCTTTCTTTGCTGACTTGATCCTAAATATTTTTTGTCTCTCCTCAGGTGGTAGATTTTAAAAATACAGTTTGTTTTTCATAGCACGTTAATACTCCAACTCTTATTTTTTAGCTATGCTTTAAGGGTCTTGATCATCAAAGTTGTTATTACTTGCTTTCCGAAGTTCGATGTTTGATTAATACCCTTAGTCAAGGTTAGTTAAATTAAATATTGAGTTATTGGGATAATTATTTGTTTATTTTTGATCTTTGAAAGTTTATTGATGGTTTCCTGAGGATAGAGTTGCGAGATTATTATGAGACTAATAAGCATAATTATTTTGATGATAAGAAGGATCTCTTGAAATTGAGTTCTTATGTGTTCTGGGTCTCTGTCTATGAATTTTATTCACAGCCTCTTCCTGATCTTTCATCACATATGAATGATTCAAAAATACTATAAAATCGTAAGCTATCAAATTATAAACTTACTCTTAGACTTTTTGAGCTATTGCAAATTTTCCTTTGGAATTAAACTAAGTGTTACTAGATTTGATTTGCTTTTCCTGCTCATAGCATTCATAAATTCCTGTATTTGCTTTAGCTTTACTTTCCGCTTTTTATCGTAATGCTCGTATCTTATCTTAGAGATAGCCTCATTTGGGTCCTCATTCAAAAAGTCTTGTAAAGATCTAATAATGTTAAATTATACGCGAATTAGCTAGAATCTTATGCTTACTTTTGCTGGAGAGAGGTTACATCAATGTTTAGTATTTTGCAAACTTATTAAAAATCCTCATTGAAGTACTTATCTTGGCGAGAAGGATTGTTTTAGTGGAAAGATTGATCCTACTAAGAGGTAATATTATGTTGACGATTGTCTTGTAAATTATGGGCGTTATTGTTGATAATCATTGTGTTTTATTAGCTTGGCATTGATTCTCAAATAAAATATATTAAAAATCTTAAAAAATTATAAATTCTCTTGCTCAAAGTTCCATCAGGGGTTTTGGGGTTTTGGGGTTTTGGGG